GTTCGGCGTTATCAATAGTTAAGGGATATGGTATGCATTGGATTCAATTCATAACACCGTAGACGAAACTGAATACATATCTGGCTTGCGCAATGTTCTTCTGTTGAGTTGAGTCATCCTACGGCTCAAACTTTATTCTTCTAAATATATTGATGGACAATTCTGTATAGATACAATTGATAGGAAGAGTCTAGCTTTTATGTAATTCAGTAACACTCTTCCAGTGGGCAACTTTGAATGCTTAATTTGGAAGCATTCTGATGTTAGTGCAACCTCTGCACTATCCAGGACTCCATTATTTCATAAGCAACACGTTTTACTATTTTAATAAGAAGTGTTACCGATCTTTAACATTGATACTTTCTTTTTAATTATTTTCTGTATAAGTGAGCTAACACGAGATTGGTATTAAAACTATTCCCGGCTAACGTCTCGACGTCGTCATCTTCTTTAGAACCCGATTGATCCCCGTCCGTGATCAGCAGCTGGTCGTTGTCGTGATGTTGATGTTCGTAGTGACGAATCCTAGTGGAGCGAGCATTGCTCGAATGATGAAGTTCACTCAGAGATCACTTTCTTTTCAAATTTTTCGTGTCACACAGTACTATACGTTATTGAACGAGTAGTTGCCTACAATTTTTGTTTTTTTTTTCAAGTTTATAGAACATAATAACGCAGTTAAGGATAGGATAGCGCAGTGGTTAGTGAGATCGCCGATCAGGAAGCAAAGGCACTAGGTCGACACTCCTTAACGCTCTCCTACAATCCACGTGTAAAGGCCTTACCTGCTTAGCTCCAAGAATGCAGGGAGAATCTAATCGATCAGCGTTCTACGATATTCTTAAAGAAGAAGACAAAGTTCTCAGGCAGCAGCAAAAGTAAAACGCGAAATGTTAGAGGACCGTCAACGCGATGAATGCAAGAAATGCTAGAATCCTCATAGTGCATGTGATAACGGATCATGTACAGTAAATGATAAAATAAAAACATAATAACACATCCATGTAAAAGACGTATTTTTCAATTTCGAAACAAACATACAAACTCGTAAAACATTCTTATTGAACAAATGAGAAGCGAATGAAAGGGTCATAAACTAGGTGAGCTTCTTTCAGCAAAAATTGCAGAACAGAAGAGCGTTCAGAACGCCGGAGATCTCTATGGATAAACGCTGAATAGCAGAAGAGTGATCGTTAGAAGAAATGAGCGAGTCGCTATCGTTGTCGTGGCAGTGCTGACTGGACACTTGTGATGATTTGAAACATGAAACATGGCACAGATAAACGACGTAGCCGTTGGAGCCATCTGAGAGGCAGACCTGAAAAGCGGTATCCACTTTATAATAATCTCTTACCCAAATACTTGTTTGATCCAGAATCATTAACCACAAAAGGAAGGCTTGGCAGAATTTCCATTGCATTGATAATTTGCTGGTTGGATACGACGTTCTTTCCTCGAGCCAGTCGCGCTAGGGCCACCAGTCGCTGTTTAGATGGCACTAACTCCCGGTACTGGTTTGCTCTCAGCAAGGTTTCCTAATGAAATATCGAACTTCTTCCCAACCTGGAAAACCTGCTGGAGGATAAACCCTGCACAACACAGTTCGACATGCGTGAGCAATTCAAACAATGATGGGCTGGTAAACGACTGGGTTGGAACAATTACTATATACAAAAATAAAGGATAAAGCATAAAGCTCTCGACATTGGTCAACCCCTGAGGGATGCGCCATGCATTGGACTTCACTAAGCATCGTTTGGAGGTGACTGAATGCATGTCTGGTGTCTAGAATGACTCGCGGTGTCCTCGCATACAAAAGGGACATAAAATTAGAACTCTGCTTAAATCACAAGTCTGAGCAGAGAAATTCACATCATAGTTGTCTTATTCATAAAGATTCAGCCGTTTCAGAGATGACAGCAATTCAATTTTTAATTTTTATTTGGTGCTTATTCTTACGGTTAGGAGTCGCCTCCAACAAATATGCCCCATGCTCACACTGGGAGAGCCTGACAAGCTACCTGTGAGTATACACCGCCCCACGCTCAGAGCGCAGCAAGCAATACGTGGGTAACAAAAATGCTAAACACAGTTAAAAAAACGGCCTTCATTTCCCTGACCCCGAAAGGGCTCCAAATTCGCAGCGTTGGGAAGGACGAGTACGAAGAAGCTACTAAAATCTCAGGTCCATTCTAAGCTGCTTAAATAGTAAAGTATTAAGGTGGCGATCCGCACCTACAATGCTCGCACACTTGCATCCGAGTGCTCGATAGAAGACTTGATCATGCAAGCAAGAAGGATAAAGTACGACGTCATCGGCTTGGTACAGACGAGAAGACGCCAGCCTTTCAACGCCACCTTTGACACCGGTGAAGAACTGCTCCTCGGAAAATACGATAGTAGAGGAGTCGGCGGCGTCGGTGTTGTCGTCCACATGAGTTTGTCCATGAACACCGATTCATTCGAGCAACCTATAACCCAAATCGGATGTTTACGATTAAAAAGACGTGAATTAATTCCGACTTTAACAATCTTCGTCGTTTACGCGCTGACATCAAACTATGACGAAGAAGAAGTCGAAGCGTTCTATATGGACTTGGACAAGTTCTACAGAGAAGACCATACATTCTTCAAGGTCATCATTGGAGATTTCAACGCCAAGATTGAGCCAAGAAGAACGTCTGAAGAACGTTACATTGGGACCCACGGATTAGAATAAAACAAACAGACTGACCGGCTATCTGAGTTTATCATGGCGACCAAGACAGTACATGGTAACTTGCAATTCCAGAAGCCCCTCACTCAGCGCTGGAAGTGGGAGTTTCCCAATAGAGAGCACCATAACAAAATAGATCGTATTACAGCAAATAGAAGGTTTTGCCTAACCGATGTCTTGTCCCAAAATTCTACACGGGATCAGACCACCGTCTCCTTCGTGCAAGTTTCTATTTCTCGCGGAAAGGGGAAAAAACCGCTAAATTCCAAAACCAAAGTACCACAATCACCGCAAACTTATTCAATTCAATAGTCGGCTGTTGGGAAGAAGCCGTTGTCGATAATATCGACGAAGAACACAATCGGCTCATTCAACATCTTCACGTTAGCGCTATGAAAGTTGAGAGTTCGAAAGTCACCAAGAGACGTTTGTCTCCAGAAACAGTGATACGCCAGAGTGGAATCGCACAAGTTGCACGCAACCGCGAGCTAACGTCCGAGCTTGCAAAACGATGCAAACAGGCGATAAAGGAAGATAAAGAAAAACGGAACTGTTACAGCGTCCAGAGAGGCAATGGAGAAAATCATTCACGAATACCACTCGGATCTCTTCGATAGCCACGTCCATCTTCCATCATATGAAATCAAGGAGGATAGACATGTTGTACCACTGGTTCCCCCTCCGAAAACTGACACGCAATTTTGTCGGTGAAAAATTGGCTCTTCACACATTACCTGTCTGAATGCAAGGTCCCTACTCAGTGGAAGACCAGCAGACCGTGTATTGCTCAAGAAGGATGACCTACACGATATCGGCAACTATCGCTCAATCTGCTTACTGTCCGTCGTCTACAAACTTTTCACTCGAGTTATCCTAAACGGGATTGAGAGAACACTAGACGAAGGACAGCCATGTGAACAAGCAGGGTTTCGAAAAGGATTTAGAACGATGGACCACATCCACACGGTATCAGGGCTCATTGAAGTATCGTGAGAGTACAAAAGACCGCTCTGCCTCACTTTCATCGCTTTACAGAAGGCCTTTGATTCGGCTGAGATAGAAGCAGTCTTGGAAGTCGTTGACTGTCAAGGAGTCCCTACTCAGTACATAAAGATTCTTCGTGAGCTATACAAAAATTTCGCAACCAAGGCATCACCATTCTACAACGATATTAACATTGACGTTAAAAGAGGAGTTAGGCAAGGCGATACCACTTCGCCAAAATTATTTACCACCACCCTCCAGAACATCACGCGAACATTGGAATGGTATAATATGGAAGTGAAAATCGATGGTCGGCAGTTACACCATCTTCGCTTTGCTGATGACATCGTCCTTATAACACCAAACATTAGCCATGCGGAACGTATGCATGACGACTTTGATAAAGCTTGTAGAAAGATTGGCCTTCAACTAAATCTCACAAAAGCGATGTTCATGAAGAATGGATTGGTTTCGCATGTCCCATTCACGCTCAACGAAACGAATATCTCCGAATTCTCCAGCTATATCTATCTAGGTCGGGAAATCAATATGATGAGCGACCTAGCTCCAGTCTTGAGCAGAAGGAAACGAGCGGTTTGGGGAGCTTTCAAGAGCATCGAGGATGTATTGAAGAGAACAAAAAACACCCAACTGCGTGCCCACCTTTTCGATTCAACGGAACTTCCTCCCCTAACGTATGCATCTGAAATCTGGTCGCTGCGTAAGCAGGATGAAGGATAACTCGGCTTTATTGAACGCGCAGTCGAAAGGACGATGCTATTAGGAGTATCCCGTTTCACACAAGTAAGAGATGGGTTCCGAAGCTCCGATCTGCGTCAGCGATCTAAAGTGAAAGATAGTGTTCTGTACGCCAAACAGTCGAAGATAAGGTGGGCTGGACAAGTAATGCGTATGAATGAGGACCGATGGACAAGAACCGTTAGTGAATGGATTTTTCGGGATGTTAAACGCACTGCAAGAAGACCACCGACCCGATGGTCAGAGTCCTTCACAAAGAGCCTTGAAGAAAGATATGACGCTCGGCGAGCCCCTTGAGCGAGCAGAACCCACTGAGCTACTCTTGCACCCGAGAGGGAAAAATGGAAGATTTACTAGCGCTCGCTCGAGTCACTCGACGATCAGCAGGACTACAGGTGATAACGAAATAGACAAGATATAGTTTTTTCTTCATTTGCTTTGAGAGCCAAGCGATCTATTATGAATACTTCAGGCGAAGACAACCAAATTCTTATGTCAGATCACTTTCTCCAGATATAAATGTGATGAGTGCTATTAAAACTCACTCTTTCCCTCTGGTAGTAGCATTTCTCGACGAGTTTTCCGCTGCTCTTAAGACATGATACGAATAGGGCAGATCATAGCACACACTGATCCAGGACAATGCTCGTAACCGCAGCATATAGCGTTGCTTGAACATCTCTATTCTAAATAATGCCAAATGGATTAAAAAAATACGCAAACATAGAAATATGTTATAATATCTAAATATGGATTTTGCCATCTATATAGTCCTTACTCGAGTTTCGTTAGCGTTGCAGTTTCAGAACATGCTATATATCCACGAATTGACGAAATCACATAGTGAGGTCTGGAGCTCGTGGTTTCTCGAAAATGGTGTACCGAAGAGGGGTTTCTCATAGGCAGATACTCACTTTTCGTTTTGGTTCCAGCTGACGCTTCGCTTACGCGAGGTGGAAGGAGGGAGCAGCGAATGCTCATTGATATTGTTCACTACATCGGAGCATTTAATTCTTCATGCCTAATTCCGTTCTCGATTTCGGTTTCAGCATCGTCTCCAAATCAACTAGTAGGAAAACCGAGCGAGGGAAACTCTGCCGAAAAGATACTTCCCTCGGACCTACATTTTGGTGAAGACGTGAATACGCCCTTGCAAGTCTACGTCAGGACCCTAGGGAGGATCCAGTTGCTCAAACAGCAATAGGAAAGTCTCAGTACCACGCACACTGAATGCACCCGTATATGACGTCAGGGTTGAGATGACCGGTAGGAGGCCAGAAAATCTCGGGTTACGCTAGACGACACTTTAACCGGATCTGACGAGCATACGCGCGACACGCCATGGGTATTCTTTCCTACTCCGTGGGTATAACGCCAAAACACCCTCCACCGTTCTTCACGTCCTTCTTGAAGCCGCAGCTAGCATCAAATTTCATGTGTTCGCACTACAAGAAACAAAAATCAGAAAGACCGACATACGCCTAACAAACAGCGAACCCTTGTCATTCGCGGAGAAAATTTCTGTCCGAGATGTCGGTGACGTAGGCTTTCTCTCCCGCCCGCCCATTTTCCATCTCGTCGACTCGTAGAAAACCTTTTGATGGCAACACTCTTGCGAAAATCGACCATTTATTCTGACAAATAGAAGACGGTACCTACTTGACAAATCGGTATTCCCGTCATTCGGCACTGGTTCCTTTCACCATTTCCTTCGAGCGAAGATTCGTTTCAGCCGTATGCTGGATCGGAGGACTGAAAAGTTGTGCGGAATTCGCCTCAGATCCGTCCTCAAGCAAAATGATCGGATTGCATCTCCATTACCACTAAAGGGCTTGTCGAGAAGAGAAGGAAACTGAGGCTTGATCCCATTGCAACACATTTAACACGAGTAGTAATAAATGCCAGCTGCAATGAGTTTTGCAGGCAAACCTACATCGATACAGCAGAAAAACCTACTGGAAGAAGTGGAGAAAAAAGCAGTCTGAAAAAATGTCGTCGGAACTTGTGTGACTATAATGTTCCGTTGTCAGCCCTGATGAACGAAGACGGGATCGTCAAAACTTTCCGCCATGATATGGAATTGATAACGGAAACGCTCCACGCTAACCTTTTTCGCTCTCCAATCCTCGTTCCAAGCCCTGATATTCCCGCTGGAGAACAACTACTTAGAATTCTTCTGTAGATGGTTCGAGTTGTGATAGAAAGCACGAAAAAGAGGCACAGCTCCAGATCCTGATAATACCACCACTGACTTTCTTGGACCTGAAGCTACAATTTACACACATTTCTCGCAAGCCATATGACAGCCTACCTTCAAAAGGGAAGATTCGCATAACGTTGGAGGACACGGTCGTTCTGCCCAAAAAAGGTGATTGAAAGGATCTTCGTAACTATCGTAACTATTCGTAACTGACATGCCAGCTGAATGTACTCTACAAACTTTTTACGAAGATTATCCTCATATCAAAAACATTGGATGATGCATAACCAGTGGAGCAAACAGGATTTCGATAAGGATTTTGTTGCATGAACCACATCCAAACTGTCTCCAGGGCCATTGAAGCTTCTCGGCAACATCACTTGCCCCTAGTCTAACCTTTTTCGACTATGAAGAAGCTTTTCACAGTTTCGAAACGAATGCAATCCTATCAGCGCTTATAAACCAAGGAGTGTATCCGTCCTACATAAGAACTCTGTCTGACTGTTATGGGAACTGCACCAAGATAATGCAGCTTTTCCGCCCACCTCTTACCATAGGAAAAGGGGTTCGACAGGGCAACACTATATCGCCAAAGTTGCTTAGTGCTACACCGCAACGGATAATAAAGCCACTTTATTGGGATGAGCAAAGCATATGTATTGATGGAAAATTCCTACCAAACCTTCGTTTAGCCGACGACATCGTCACCTTCTCAAAAAGTACTAGCAAAGCAGAGTCGACGATGAATGAGCTTAACGAAGGAGGAAAAAACATCGGGTTATGCATAAATCGGAAGAAGACCCAGTTTATAGAAAACCCTGGTGCGAACAAATCGAACTCTGACTGTAGAGACACCTCGTACGTATACTTGGGCAAACGGTGAACTTGGGAAATAACGTCAAGGATGATTTAGACAGAAGAAAAAAAAGCAGCACAGGTTGCATTCGGGCTCTCAAAGAAGCCATCGATCAAATGAAAGTCCCAAAAATTGGCGCTCACTTTTTCGGTTTGACGGATCTACCGGTACTCTGTTACGCTTCTGAAACTTGGGCTGATACTTCAACCACACCAAATGCTATACATAATGTCCATACAGAGCGCTCAAACGATGTCTTTTGAAATATAACCGCAAGTCTAAATATCTAGCCGGAATGTGGAGCTTTCCGAAACCTGTCCTATTTTCGAGATCCAGAAGAATATACGTCGATAACGAAATGCAGATTGACCGGCTGGCCGAAGTAATGGGAAGACCAGCCGAAAGATGAACGAGAAGAATGTAGAGTGGCTCCACGAAGACGCAGACATTCACTAGGACGACCACCTGCACGTTGTGTTGGGGCGTTCGTAACCAAAGTCAATGAAAGCCTAAAGTAACCCGTAGTAACCAAAGCCTGTTCTTGCGGTTGCAGTTATTTTAGAGATCACAATATGAAACTCGCACCCACCACCGTGATCAAGTAAAAACACCATGGGCGATGATTTCGAGAGAAAGAGACAAATAGCAAATGTGGTGGGCTCCCCACAACTTGTAAAGACGGCTTGTCCAATTATCAAAGTAGTATGTAAACGGCGAGCAACACAATGAATATGTCGGTGATCAACACCAATCCAAGGACGTCTCCTTTGCCTTGAAAATGCAGTAGAAATGTTCTTATTTTTGGCTTTTTTCTGCGTAGCAGGCAGTTGCTAAGATGGAATACCTATCAGATTATAGAGGAGTTATGATATTCACTGAACTTCGAATCCTTCTACTAGGATGAATGCCTGTATAAAAGAGTGCCTAATTGAGCTGACTAATCGTGAAGGACTCTCATGTCAAAAATTTTACGAACCGAAATTTCTCTCTGAGATCACATAAGTCGTCACAAAACTTGGGAATTATGTTGATGGAAGCCGATTGGGAGAAAAGGAACAGAGCGAATGGAGAGCAGGTGGCCGGCGTTGACGGCACGAATGGAATGTAGCTGGCTTTCTGGAAAAGTTCAAGACATTACCTTATTTTGATTTAAGTAATGGTTTTCTAACGTTTGACAGCAGAGTCACGAGCAATATGTTACACATCACCCCAGTTATTCACCTGTTATAAAAAAAACATAACCATGAAAAGCTCGAATATCTTGCTTTAATTTTAGTGGCATATCTGGCATTATTCTTCAAACACCTTAGATGGAAACCACTACTATTTGTTATCCAATATCGAGCAAAAAAAATCGATAAAAGACCCTAGGGTTAAGGGTTTTAAAAATCAAGTGGAAGGTAGTACAAGACATGTTTACTGCAACTATTTCGAGAAATCTCCAAATGTGATGGATGCATTCAAGGTATCGCAAAGATTTCTTGACGACTGATGCCGACTAACTCTTCGGAATAGCGAAAAAGTCAACGGTTACTTGACAAATACATCAACCGCTTGGGCCTTTGATTCCCGTGGTTTTCAAAATACTCTGATGGTATGGCATTTTTTAGGCATACTTACATGGGAGCCACTATTACTCATTGCTCAGTATCAGATAAAAAATCATTAAAGGATACCACAGCTAAAGAATCTAGAAATGAAATGAAAGAAGGAAATACAAGGCACGTTTACCGAAACTGTTTCGAGGAGTTTCCAAGCGCAATCGATGTACCTAGGGAGTCGAAAAGATTTTTTGAAGAACCGTGTTGGCTAAGTTTTTGGAATATTAAAAAAGTCAATAGGTGTGGTCCTTGATTCCAATGGCTTTAAACTAGCTTGACAATCTATGGGCCCAAATATGATCTCTTCGCGAAGTAGTTTTATAGTAACGCTCGTTCTTACACCTGTATTTAGCTGCGACCGCTGAACCAATGCGCAACTCACGGTAATTCCATTTGCTGACGAAGCTAGTTCCTGTGCGGGAATGTCGATGACCATCCAGTGTAGCATCGACGTCGTTCCGTCGATGGCAACGAGCGAGTAGAGTTTATCCAACAACGCTAAACGACGATAGCCTAGTAGTAGAAACAAAGCTGGGCTTGTTCTTGAAGTAGTGGTAAGAAAAATAACCCGCTTTCCTTTTTCATCATGTATACATGCACACATAGATATATGTATGTATATAAAAGACACTTGTGGCGCAGTGGTCGGAGGTGCATTGCAACACATACGTGGAATCGATCCCCCGCCCATGGCTCGCCAAGCCTTCCATTCTCCGAGCTCGGCAAAATGGTACCAGACTTATCGGGGAGGATAGCAGCACTAGCTCTATACATCGGTAGGTTACCGCGAGTCATTGTAAAGGCCAGATATGCATTTAATCATCTCCAAACGATGCTTAAAGAAGTCGAATGCATGGGATTTCCTTCAGGATTGGTCAACGCCGCGAGCTTTATCCTTTGTTTATCCTTTATATATATATATATATATATATATATAACTAAACATATAGGTGTATATATGCCATAGATACCTATGAACATAAGGGTAATCCGCAGATAGTTTCACTACTTCATGAATTTTTCCTCGTTTTTTACAACCATGAAAAGATAATCCATCCATTTCCTTCATCATTGGTAATTCTAATGAAAAAGTACAGATTCTGCATAAATAAAACTCACCGATTTGTGTTCTGGCTTGGCGATGATAACTGACGTACGACGGACTGTCTATCGGTATTCTAGCCGAATTCACTGTCGGTGGTTGCAGCATGGAGAGCGCCGAAATCGTTGCCGCACCGAGTGGATCGAAGTAGATAATGGCCTCACTGGAAATGAACGAGAAACAACTTACTGATTCTAATTTATCATAATGGCAAGCTCAGATAAAGCCATTTTTCAGGTGATCTACCTCATTAGTAACTGGGGTTACGTGGCCCACTTCTGGTTTCGTGAATAGGAGATGAAACTCAGAACAAATTTGATACATATTTGATGTGCAGTGGAGTATTCAAAAAAAGAAATTCTCTACTTTTGTTGTAATTGCTTTGACTAGCGTACTCATTTAATGTATCAACGAACCAAATACATCGTCTTTAGCACAAATTGGTCAATACCAACTCGCTTTTATGACTACGAAAAAGAGAGAAAAGAGGATTTCATATTGACTATATGGGCAAGGAGACGTCCTACAACACACACGTGGAATCGATCCTCGCGCCCATGGTCCACCAAGCCTTCCATCCCTCCCACATCGGCAAATTGGCACCAGAATCGTCTGGAAGGTTAGCAGAACTGGCTCGATACATTGGTATGCAACTGCGAGTAAAAGCCAGATATGCATTCAATCACTTCCAAACAATGCTTAATGAAGTCAAATGCATGGCCCATCTCTCAGGGATTGATCAACGCCGAAAACTTTATCCTTTTATCCTTTATGTGGGCTCCATGAGTATTCACAGATGTTGGCTGTAATCAGAAGTCCTTTTTACCGAAAAAGAATTGATGAAGAACACCGAAAACAATGAGGACACTATGAGAACATATCTTTTCCCTTGTATTCCGTATAAGAAAAGCTATTGAATAAGCTGGATTTTGTCTAGCGGGAGGTGGTGGTGTTCCCAAAACGGCAATAAGTTTTAAAATTTTAAATATCGTTTTCAGCAATTCGAGAGCCTGTGTTATGAGCAGGTTCAAATCGCTTTGTAAAATTCGCATTTATCTTTAAGACGACAGGGAAAAGTGTTTTCTACAATTCAGCATTTCTTGATGAGTAGACACGAGCTTGTTATTACACTATTTCTTCCCAGTAGCTGACGTTAGGGCGGTTTCGCCTTCTTCAGAGCTTGGAAAGGTCAAAGTGACAGGCAGTCTACTCAGTTAGCACTTTCATAGGTTCAGCAGATAAAACTTGTTATATAAACCTTGTGTTTGATGTTGAAAATGACTGACTGAGGAGATTCATGTCAATTTGATCTCTCCAGGTGTGAAGAAGGCAAAAAAACCCAATTCTTAGCCATTGTTGAATAAATATTACTTCGAGTCTGCTCATCAACAAAACAGTGAATTATCTATCAATACCCAGATTAATCAGATTAATTAATTAACTAATTGATTAGATTCAGGTCCTAAGATATGCTACATGTTTTCTAAACGTCCACAAAATTTTACAGTCTTCAACTGCTCTAGCGACCGACGATTTAGTAGCGGTTATCAAGCAATCAGCACGGCACTGATGGCCTGGAACAGGCACTGTTCATTGTCACTGTTAAGCACTGCGAACATGCCCTTAGGAGTTTTCTGCCGAGCACTGCCTTGTCATTTCGATTTATGTCACCAGTACCGTATTCGGTGAGGGCGTTTACATGTAAATGCAATCTCTAATGAATAGAGGATAATGCTCTCAGCATTGACCGATCAGTAAAGGATGTGCCATGAATTCGACTACATTCGGACCATCGTAGAGGTGATTTGGAGTGCATAACTTATTGTAGCGCCGTGATTCATCAAGTCAGTATTCCTATCCTCTCAAAAATGATGTCATTCTGCCGACACCGGCGACGTGGAATGTTTGGAGAGCCCAAAACGCAGGACCGAACTAGAGATCGGTCCAGTGCGCATTGCAAGGCACCTCTAACCATTGTGCTACACACCTCTCATATAATTACCTAAATTCCTGTATTACTGATAAGACAAGGCGACGTTGCCTTTGCAGTTTATTATACTACGACATCCAAAGTGTGTGAAACGTGGATTTGATGAAAATCCGCCGAAATACCAACCGTCTTTGAAATAAATGCTCTTGAGAATAATTAAAAATAGATAGACGTATGCATCGCCAAATGCAGTTGAAAGGATAGTCTGTTAGCATTGCCGTCAAAACAAGTATATTTAGAATGAAATCAGAAGACGGCTTACTTTTGTCGCACCCTTTGGCAGCACACATTTACGTCAAGTGGCGGTTGTTTAACAGAGACGGTCAGCCACGAATTCAGTTCGTCCAGTGGAAGACGACTAAGTGCAAGGGCTGGTGGATGGCGTATGAGTTCTGTAATGTAAAAGTCGCATCTTCAGTGTTAACAAGGAGAATCAAGAAGAAGACAGATGATGCTGATGATACAATACAATAAACTATAGGTCTTAACCTTCAATCATTCATTCATACGAACTAGTAGCTTTTCAAAACGTGTAAACGTCTACATAAAAGTGAAAAAACAGAGAGTTGATGACGCATTCACTTTTTTTTGTAAATGAAAGCATTCTGGATCTGCAAGGACGTGTAGATTGATAAGATGTGGAGATTCCTAACCTATTTTCGTGATATTTGATGTAAACTACCAAGAATAGTAAACCAACGAAAAGTAGCTCATTTGTATGGTTGTCACAAGAGCGATTTTAACCATTGACTTAATCATAAGCTATTGCTTAGTAGTCACCGCCTATGCCTGAATTCAGAGACCAGTGTTTTCAATGAAATTTCTATTAGTTGAAGAACCCCTGAAGTAAGTGGTGCGCAATGATTTCTAAGTCAGCAAGCTCATTAATCGTAAATTATAAGTTGATAAGGTAAGAAGCCGATGACACGCCTCGTGATAATTGTCACAACCGGCCGAGACCGTACTTCTCCACGTGACATATTTAGTAGAAGCCTTTCTCATAGAGAGCGACTCTTGAGGAAGACGAAATTTCCTAAAACATCAGCTTGTTCGTAGATAAAGGTTAAAATTACACCTGGTGCTTGTTCAGCAAGAATGTAAAGGAACTGATGAGTTTGTTTCCAAAACGAATGAATTACAGTAATTCCCACGGTCGACTTTATATTAGCCTCGACATTGATCGAAAAATTCACTGTTGTCTCTATGAGCAAACACGAGATTGTTACTTTATTTCTAATTTATGAACAAGCTGACGTTTCGGCAAATTTCAGCTTCTTGAGAGCTTGGGAACGTCAAGCTAACTGCAACACACCCAACCAAATACCTCCAAAACAGAGAACATATAATAGTAAACTAAGATTTCAATAGAATTGAAAACAAAACGGCTACTTCGCACACCACCTTCTTTATTGGTCTCCCACTCAGTCTTTCACGTGGAGGCCAACCGCACAGACTTAACATGGAGGTATAAAGTCCCTCTAACATTACAATGTTAGCCTTGAGTAGATCGCAAGAGATATGAGACCGCCAGTGAATACAATGCCTTCCTAACTGCAGCTCATTTCTGGATTCATGGAATGTATCCGGAATACCTTGAGAGCTTTGAGCGCTTGCATTTTCAATTCCTGTACGAGGATCGTAAATTCTACTTAAAAATCTCCCCCGTTAAGTCTCTGTGTCCTACACTTGTCTAGAAAGAGTATTTGACTTAACTTTAAGACTAGTAACTAGGTGTTCCTGTATACGGACGCAAAGTGGCCCACCTCTCTCGAAAATTTATTCTCCCTGCACATGCTTTATAAGAGATCAGATAAACTTAACTCGAACTCATGCAGTCACTGTCTGTACCGTTAGGACAAATTATGTAATCGTGCGTTCTACATGGGCGGTAATACAGGCGGTTGCGAAATGTCTAGCATCTTTTGTTGGTGCTATTTCGCAATGTAGCCGTTTTCGAATAGGTAAATTTAAACGTTCAGAAATGGAAACCAGTTTTCCTCCGGTTTCCCTCAAGTAAGCTTACTCTGCTTTGACTATTCATTCAATAACTCCAAACACTTCTCCACTTCCTCTTGTGTTGAGTAGATGAAAAAGTAATCATCTATACATGCACAATAGAGCAATAGGTGGAGATCGATTTTTGTCGCTTCCACGTTAGACCTAAATTCAACAGCAACGCTTGACGCTAGTCGCTGTTCCAGTGTCAACCGTCTCATTTTGCGTAAAACTTCTAAGACCATCCGAAGACTAGACAGTTTAGACACTCCTTTAAGGGTGTCGCAAACTGCTGCATCGTGAAGCCATGCATGTTCATTGCTTCTTCCTATTGAATAAGGGGTTCGAGGACGGCTTACAAAGCAGATTCATTCGACACATTTGGAGCGGTAACATCGAAGGATTTCATCACGTATGTTCCGTGAAGATATGTCCTTACGTAGACGATTCAGGAACATCTGGGCGTTCGTTAGATGGCCTGGAATGTGTTTTAACAAATGGGCAAGCATTTGGGTTAAAAACCACGTTATTCAATCGATTGGCTCGTCTACACAGCAAATAATACGTTTAACCTTGAATAACATTGGATCGTTAGACATAAAATCAACACTGGATTCTAACTTATAAGTTTTGGTAAGCAAGTATGATACGGGACATGTTGATGATTCAACTTTCAGCAGAGAGGTGATGGTTTCAAACCAACCGCTTTAGCCATTTTAGCCTACTCGTTGTTTAATTTTCGTTAATGACTTTTAAATTCCATCTCAGGCGACGTGCGATAAATGAAAACACCTTCAAGATGCTTTTTCGTTATATCAACATCTAACTGACGAGGAATTACTACAAACTCTCCACTTGACCGATGGAGTCCTTCGACAATACTGCCCTTTATACAAACGTGTCGAATGACTCCGCTATGCAAGCCATTCTCGAACTCCTTATACAGCAGAAAGGACCAATAAACATGTATGCCTTTATGGTACGACATTTAACGACACTTTTCAAGAAGTGTCTAAACTGCTCAATCTTCAGGTAGTCTGGGAAGTATTAAAATGGGAGGGTTAGGAATGGGGCAGCGACTGGCACAAAGCTTTGCCATTGCATTTATGTTTAAGATGGAAGCACCATTAACTGATCTCCGGCACTGTGTATATGCAGATGATTGCTTTTTTATTTGCTCAGCAAAAGAGAAAATGGAGAGGTACCGTTTATCTAGAACAAATAAATGCAGCTATATAACGTTGCCTAAGGAGAACCAGCACAGAGAAGTCGGTAACCGTAATTGAAATACCACCGAGCACTCCATGACGCCGACTAGTTCACAACCGCCTGTATGTACAACGCAAAACTGAATAATTTGGCCTAATGGTAGAGATGGTTATTGCATGAGTTCGGTTACACTTTATCTAATCTCTTGTAAAGCGTGAGGAAGTGAATACATTTGCAAGGCGGATAGATCACTCTGCGTCCGTATACAGGAACACTTAATCAGTAAACCTAAATCTAAATCAAATACTCCTTCTAGACAAGCATAGGACACAGAGATATAGCGGATTTTGAAGTAGAAGTTAACATCCTTGCACAGGAATCCATAATGCCAGAGCCCAAAACTCCCAATGCATTCTGGATAGTTTTAAGAATCCGAAAATGAACCGCAGGGAGATTTGCCTCCTAAACACACACGATTTCACACAGTATTTAAGGCTGATATTTTAATGTAAGAGGCACATTACACTTCCATGTTAACTGTGCTCGGTTTATTTTTACGTGAAATATTTAGTGGAAGACTAATAGAAGGTGCTGAATGCTTTAAGAAGCTGTTTTGTTTATAATGCGATTGAAATCTTGGTTTAGTATATTCTCTGTTTGGTTATGGAAGGGTTTGACTGAGTAGATTGCAGTCAACGTGACCTTTCCAAGTTCTGAGAAAGACGAAATCTGCTGAAGGAAGTAAAGTAACAATTTCGCGCTTGCTCATGAAGAAAACACTGAATTAGCTAGTTTTTCAACATTTTTCCATGCTCCTTCATGTTCTTGAACAGCTTCACTGTTCGGAATTGTTGGATTCTTACCTTCTTCTTCAAAGCAATAACTAACATAGCTTCCTGGCAAACTTCTTTAGCGCTTGTTTTACGGTTTTGTAAACGATATTTTACACAAACTTCGTGGAAGGAAGGTAAAGTGATTAGCACTGGTTAGTCAACGAGAGATGCTCCACAGATCCAACTTCACCGGGCTTCGCAGAAAAAAATTAAAGCATCTTTTGACCCATACAGTAAGTGCACTTTCGAAGGCCTACTAATGTATCCCCGTAGTATCGCGATTTGTTCAAGGAATCTGAAAGGAAGGCGAGCTCAGTTTCTGCCCGCCTGAAGACAAAGATGAATTGACGACCAAATATACATCATAAAGTACCTCTAACCGTTGTGTCATACGCGCGCTCCTGCGAAGTCATCAGTACTTAAATTATTTGCTGTGTCATTTAAAAGCGTTGATATAACTTCTACTCCAGTAGACTACATGCAGTGGTTTTCCTTGTATAAAACAACAAACGTCGAAAGCTTACTGCTTCTGAGAAGACTGTGACAGTTGTCGATATTGCCACGGAGTCGCTGACGTTCAATGGCGAACGCATCGCTACCTACGATCACCAGCGATAATCCTATCAGATCTAAAATCAGATATATAAGTTTTATGAAAAGAGAAACCAATTACCTGAAGTAAATGTTTTCGCTTTCCAATGGTTTTTATAACTAAAGAGGAAAAAAACAAGAAATTGCATAGAATTTCGGGATTTCATCCGTAAAATACAGTACGTAGCCGTAGATAACTGAACGAAAAGTCAGTGGTCCAACTTTAGTTCGGGCCAACGAGGTCTCCCTTCTCTTCGAAATTAGTAGCGAACTTTTCTGGGTCGAATTCCTTCTTAGCTATAAAGGCCAACGACTGTTTATGGTGATGACGTCGGAACGATCTAGTGGAGGTATACCACTACCCAAGGAAAGTCAGCTCGATCAACATTCAACAAAATTGATGAAGACGGCAAATTTTAAAGTTACAGTAAACTTCAAACGGAAAACTGAGGAACCTCGCTGGTGGTGGGCGCGAGAAAACGATTCCAATGAAGGAATGTATGATGTCGGACCACGTAATATAAATGAAGTGCACTATGAGCCTAGACATGTTGTTTCAAAAAGCTGGAAGCAGACATTGTCTTGAGAACAAATGCATTAGACTCAATGAGTTAGTTACAAACACTACGGGCGAAAAATACAAAAACACATTTCTACTCAAGGCTAAATGTGGATAACTACGAATAGGATTTTATCCGCAAACAAAATCTCGACAGCATCTCTCATTCTTTCGGTGTCGCAGAAGTGGAAGTTTTTTGCTAAGGGGATTTAATGCTGAAGACATTTCAGATCATAACTCTTCTTGTCTATTAGGTCAATATCATAATATAATAAATATTACACCGCTTTTTTTCACTAACCGTCGGCAAGATCGTTCTCGAGCATGAACTTAGAGATGTCGAAATCATCAGGTGAATCCAGCTTCAATGCCATATTCGACGTTCCGAACACAACCACGACCATCGGATTCGGTTCCGGACGAAAGTTTTCCGATGGTTCGTAATTGTGAAGCACCTGAAAACCACTGGCTTAAATTTTCTTAACAGTATGCGCATAACACTTGCAATCAGTTCTAAAGCACCTCGTCATCTGTTTCGATAGGCTTGTGTCATATGTTAGATTCAACCAAAAGGCTCCTCAAAATAATTGTAAAAGCAAACAATGTGCTTAAGACGCCGTAGTTCTTTTACCGATAGGAGTACGTTTAGAAAATGTCCCAGCATCTTAATGAAACCGTGAAAAGACTCGCTACCGTATGACGACAACTACACACACTCCAGGAGCGGTGTTAACACCTGCTCATATAATAGTTTTATTTCACTCCGGAAAGAGTAGAACTATATGGTGGCTAAAAAATTAAAAAGTCACTAGCAAGAAAAGCTTCAAACGGTTAGAATCTAGTATTCTATAAAACGGCCACTGTGAAAATATAGAATTCCTTGCTTGTAGAAGAGAGTAGAAGCCTAGCCCGAACAGAAGGCTTACACTGAGGACGATGGTATCCAACACTCGAAGGTAACTCACAAGACGGAAGGAGAGAAATATTAAAATTTTAAAGAAACTTATTTTTGCTTGTCGAGGAAATCCTGTGATCAAATAGCTCAACGAGCCGAATCCAACATCAATTATGGCAATTGTAAATTCCTCGTTGTAGTGTAGCCCATGCCAAGTGATTTCTGGTTTGGAACGAATGAAAAACGGTGCCACTGGAGCCATATCCGGATCGGCTTCAATGATCTGCAGACTTCCATTTCCAGCCCGAAATTCATGATCACAAGCACGATACTGTCCTGAATTGTTTAGTTTTGTCACAAAAGTTACGGCATTCATTGCTTTTTCATAACTCTCCAACAAAGACCTGAATGAGCTCTGAAGATGACCCGTGGGAAAATTCTTAAATTTCTCAAATAAGCGGCATGATAGGTCCTGACACGAAATAATCGGCTTCCAACCGAATGAAAAGCACTCAGCTGTGGTGGTCCGAAGCAATCAACTGGATCAGCATTCCGTCCTTGACATAGGGAGCGGCGCTGCTCTCCAAACCAGAATCTGAATCGATATATCGGTGTTTGCTGTTATTTAAAGAAATCTTTTCATTTTTCTGAGAAATTATATATCTTTCGTCTCCTAATATCCGATCTACAACAGCGAGCTCCCACACTTAGAAATTTTAGTTTTAGAAGGCTTACATATCATTTATTAAATTGGTGCAATGGTCATAAAAAAGAAAAGCTCTCGATGTTGATCAATTCCTGAGGGATGCGCCATGCATTCGAGTTCCTTAAACATTGTTTAGAGGTGATTGAATGCATATCTGGCCTTTACAATGACTCGCGGTGGTCTACCGATATATCGAGCCAGTAGTGCTATCCTCTCACACAAATCTGGTACCAAATTGCCAAACTCGGAGGGTTGGAGGGCTTGGTGGGACATGGGCACGGAGATCGATCCTACGTGCGTGTTGCAGGGCGCCTCTGACCACTACGCTACACGCGCCCTTATAAGGGTAGTACCGATCACTTTCTTTTCAAACAAGTTCTCAAATTTCGAAAGCAATGATATAAAAGTTTTCCTTGTGGAAATCAGCTGGAGTCGGTTTGGTTAAAGCACTCGAGAGAACCGAGCAAGTTGCAAGGATCTGCCTTAATCTGAACAATGATCAAAGAGACTCAGGTTCTTCCATCTCACCATCTTCTCACAGGTTGATAGGCTATCGAAATGTGAGGATTTGTTAGACGCCCCACACTCTGACCGATGACAAGTGGTCAGTATCAGTGAGTATTTATGGAACTTCACTGCATCATCAACACCGAGTAAGCTCTGTGGGAGATTCAGGTATTATTTTGTGCCAACCGTCTTCAAATTACTGCGAAACATTATCTTCTAGAAATTGGTGCAATCCGATCTACATAACCAACTCCGCAAGTTTCTCACTGCCATGAAGGAAAAGTAACCGAAAAGACCCGAAACCCGGTTTTGCGTGACTCCACGCAGCTCCACATCGGAAAATTGACTCCAAGAAAGCCGGAGGAGTTCTGCTAGAGCACCGCACTCCGGCCTCCGTAGAACTCGCGCATAGCTTCTCCAAGCAACTACACGTTAAGGGCTTTGAGCCATTATCTGCTCTAAAAGTAGTCTGACTTTCTAGAAGTTAACATTGAAAACGAAACCTTAGCTATGATAAGGATTTTTTGGTAACGGGTTCGTGTAGGCCTATGAACACAGAAAAATAGTGATTTATCATGCCATGGTTAAATAAAAGCTGGTTTCGTGAAGCGCATCAGAAATAATTCCGTTTTTTACATCGACTTTTTTCATCTATATGTGAAGAAATCCTTTGTAGTTTCCGACGATTGAGGTGATATGCCTTTAAATTCATATTAAAAACCTATTCTTATTCATAATCCTGTCCTTTTTTGCCTGTTAATGATATACTTTGATGTCTCCACAGCAGTTCTGATTTTCGGTTGGTGTGGTCGATAGCACGTGAGTCCGTGTTGTCATAGGTTTAAGGTTGGTAGCCTAACTAAGGTTTCCAGTCTTGCTCATGTCTCACCATCCTGGTTATTGTAATTCCAATCCTACCGTTAAACTAATAAAAACTAGATAAAGAACATTAGCGTTAGAGAAATAGATACAAAAGCAGTGAGAATACAGTCCCATTCTTTCTACATCGTGAAGTGAAATATGAGGAAGTGGGTATCACAGAGGTAATTGTAGCGTTTATCAAAAGCATGGTGATAATTCAAAAAACTGACTTTCTATAAACCTCGACATAAATAGTTGATATACTTATATATATGTTCTTATAAACCGGTCTCCTCCCAACGGTTTACCGCCTCATCGTGGCTTGGAGGTCTCCTGGATGTCGGGCTGCGATGTGTAGCGGGAGATTCATCCCCGGCAGGGTCTCCAAGCTGAGGAGTCTGGCTTTTACACTAGAAAGCTTAGCTAAGAATAAACCAATATCAGGATCCACCACCGTCCTGTTATTAAAGTCATATATGGTGGCAAATCTCCCTCTGATCCACAAAGCCTGCGACTGCCTGTGGTGGTGAAGAACTGGCGCAGACTTTGGCCAAACCGACCTCGGGATTCCAGGAAAACAATGGGGAAACCTGAAAATCTCCGGATAATGGAAAATGTGCTGGGGCCCGCGCAACCAGTGAAGACAGGCCATCCAAGTATCCAAGTAAGTGTGAACTGATCTTTTTGAGCTGATGCGAGGTTGCTATAGTTGTTGCTGTTGTTGCTGTTGGTCGATGGCTAACGTTTCGGCGATTTTGCCTTCCTCACATCCGTGCTGTTACGTGTGAGAGTTCCAGCATGCTGATAGTTCGACCCCCCACTGGGTGCACAAGCCGCTCATCCCTCAGAGACCTTGAGATTGGTACTAGTCTTTTCTGAGACCAGTATGCTCTCTGAGGTCCAGTTGAAAACACTCGAGTCAGGCAATCCTGTGACTTGTAGAAGAGTGGAATCGACCAGCATTCAACGACATTCTTAAAAAAGACGATAATCCTAAAACAGCAGCCGAACCCACACGCAAAAGTTCGAAGGTCTTTGTGTAGGATGGACGTAGGGAAACTAATCGAATGCAAGAAATGCTCGGAGCCGCGCAGTAGATGTGAAAATGGGTAGTGCCAGAAAAAAGATATTCGGAATCTTTACATTAAGTTTTTGAATAATTTTTTGGAATATGTCGCTGAAAACTTAAAAATGTAGAAAACATTCGTATAGTTGGATAACTTACTTCCTTGGCGCGGCCACTACTTCTCTGATTCGATTGATACAGGTGGCGGTATCGGAACACAGCGATGTCACGGCTGGTAGTAGGAGCAGCGCGACAAGCATCACGACGCTCTGATTCTTCGTGGATTCATTCTGAATGGAACTAATGCTGACTCATGAGGTTGAAGGGAAAGTGAAGAGTCAGACACGACGTACCATCACGCATACAACTTTGAAATCGCACATTTCAACGGATAGCATTATGGGTGGGGATTTTGTGTTCTTCTCACCCACTGACTAATGTCGTCTTCATTTCCGCCTGGACTTAAGTTCAATTTAAGCAGATTTTGGCCACCCACAAGGAAAACCTTAGAAGTAGAGTTCGGAAGATCAGTGTCGATGAAAATTTAGGAAGATGCAGTTTCTGTGACTCCAGCAACTTCCACAAAGATCTGATGGGGAAAGCCTTTTTATAAGCAAGTTTTTTTCTGCTACCTCACGTGTTTTTTGAGGATTCGAAAAACTGGTATCATTGGTTATTTATGAAGATTTTAGAAAATGCAACGAAAAGCTAGTTGTTAATCGCTGACTATAGGAAGTGTCTGCCACGATGGAACGACAAAGGGGCGATGGTGGAATGGAATTCTCTGGCATTACGAGATTGAGAGACGACCGCCGTATGTTTGCCCTCTTAATCCGTTAATTTGCTTTTCACTACGTCCACGTAACCGGATATTACACGTGGAGAAAAAACACCGAAAGCAATATGCAATAGAAATTGTAGTTGGCCAAAAAAAAACTAAAAACCCTTTCAGATTCAATGTTGTTTAGCGAAAATCCAGCAATAGTATGCTTTTATACAAACTTTGAAGAATTGGGAAAAGCTTTAGTCAGAGCAAATTTTATAGGCAGGAGGAAGGGTGAAGCAGCCATTCAGGTATTCTGAGCTTATAAGCACAGTTGAGTCGCTTATCCGGATAGTACTTTATCACCCAGTGATTATAGGATACGTTAGTCATCAGGCGTTACTTATATTTCCCTTTAGAGTGGCTTGTTTTAGGAAAATCTGAGCAGAGAATTCATGTGCCAAGTGCTATAGCCCGGAACTGTGATTACCTAACTATAAGAAAGTAGCTGGACTTCCAAGGCTTACCTCGATGATAGTGATCAACTACAACTTGAATCAATACCGATGTGATCAGAGTTTTTTGGTAGCCGGGCAGATATAGGTGATCTAGCCTATTAGGGTGTGACTGCAAATGAGTGAAACCTATTCACTACTTGCCAGAATCGATGGACAATATCGATTGCAGGATAAGCGTAATGAATGGATCTTCGAAAATCAATAATGGATCCACGTAGAAGAAGAAGCCGAACAGTTGCTAGCAAAATAATCGTAGAAAGAAAAACAAAAAGCTCTAGACGTGGTTAGAAAAGTGGGTTCCAGAGAGCGAATAGTGCTAATGAAGAACAGCTGGATATTATGGCTTACTGGGTTGGAAGCATTATTTTGACAAAAACAAGCGGATGAAATGAGATTGAAAGGAGACAAAGGGACACAAAGGCATAACGTTGATATCTGGAAACAAACCAATAATGGCTGACTGCTATTGAAAAAATGACATCTTGAACATCCATGTTACGATTCTTTCGTAGCACCAGTCGCACATTCTTGTTCATCTTTATACCTTTTCCTGCTCTACGATATTTACTCGGCTAAACAATCACGAAGAAAAAAAACATAAAAAGGAAAAAGAACAAAAAAGCAACCGGAATGAACAGATAGGTTGCAAAAGACAGGACGCGCTGTGGACTGAAACAAAACGATAACTGTCTGACGAAGACAGAAGGATTCACGCCTGCCCTGATCAACGATCGACATCAGTTCTCGGTTTTGAAGAACAAGAGTTTGTGCAGAAGCTCCATAGTGTAATACGTCAGGCTAGCTTATGACGAGTTCACGTAATGAAATCTCATTCATCATTCACTTTCTTCCAAATAGAACACTTGCCACCACCTCCTAAACATTTGATTGACGGATCATTATATAACATCGGGCCAACGTTTGCTTGCCGTCACACTTTAACTTTGTCCAGCAATCGGACTAATGTACTTATTTGATTATCTTGAGCGTTGGTTTACTGTAATTAACTTATCCTTGCGCCCTTTAATGGTGACAAACGTTTTCGAATTTTCAAAGTTATTTTCGCTTCAATTTCAAAATTCAAAAAACCAGTTTTCAAACTTAAATTTTTCTGAAGTACGGTAAAGTAAAACCACGTAGTACTTACTGGTACTCGTTTTTATTTGAGAATTAAAAATCTGGGACTATAGGTTA